GGGGAGATTAAACAAGGAGTGTCACAATGACACAGTGAGTTTGATAACAGGACAATAGAAGCCCTTTCAATTAGAGTCCTTTCTCCAAAAAGATTGGCTAAAAAAGGGATTTCTTCAATAACTTGTGTTGTGTCTGTTTATTCATTTTGAAATTAAAATGTATCTTCCTTTAACCTCCTTGCAGCCTGAATTCAATAGCTCTCTAATATATTCCCATGAAGATAAGACAGAGCTTCAAGGAGCACTTTAGACTGTGTAATTAGTGAAGGCAGAAGGTGAACAATAGAAGTTTGGATTTATTGATAGCACATTTTGAAAGGACATTTGGAAGGAACTGGGCCTCATGCAAGAGCCAGCTGTACGAACAGATTTGTTCCTAAGTGGCACTCACAAATTTTTATGCACAAGCAAAATTCACAACTGGTCCAGATTCGGCACATAAATCATGAACGGATTGCCTTTATTTGACTTGCTGAAAAAAAAAAGCTTTGAGAAGAATTAGGGAGATAGCGGAGGTTGTCCTCTGCTGTCACTATCTCGGCAGTGTTTTTAAATTATTTAAATTTTGAATCTCCCCCCTCAGGAGTGAGCAGCATTGAAAACAAAGCAAAGCCACCTGACTCTGACTCTGGTACTTTGTTAGGAAACTTAAACATGATGCTACCATTCTGAAACAAGTAGCTGAAGTCTCTGCTTCCCATTCAGGATCAGACTCTGTTTTATATATCTTTGTGCGATTTCAGCTGCAGCCATAACATAAGGTAAAGATTTAATGAGTGTATTTTCCTAAATGCCAAACTAATGCTTTAATTGAGAAACTAATTGGTACTCAAAACATAATTTGTTTGCAGCTGAATTGTTAAGTGAAGTCTGATATATGAGAGGTGTAGTGCTATTTGATGGCGTACCAGAGCACACCTATGGTGCATGTACGTGCTTAAATTGTTGCTTGTTTCAAGCACCATGTAAACACCTCTCCTACGGTGGCAACTGTGCTCACACCATCAAATAACACCTTTCCTACGGTGGCAACTGTAACTGCTCACACCATCAAACGTTAGACTGGTTTTATTTTCTGGTGTGGCAGAGTAACATAATGGCATGACCTGTCATCAACTGTCTCATAAAGCCATAAGAAATTAGATGCACTCCATTCAAATCCTACTGAATGTTCACTGAACTCCTCCTGCTACATGCCAACCAGCAGCAGTGATGACATCATCTGTGTGTGGGGCTCAGGACCTGTGAGCATGTGCCAGATTTTGACCATCCTGCATCTGCTTGCACCATGTAGGCCTAGCTGATCACTCACCCACTGAGAGCCACTACTGATCATTGCATCTGATGTTTGTCTACACTGCAGCTCCTCTAGATTACACCCTAGTTTGTCAGTCTGTATGATCTGAGTTTTGTTCTGTTACTTGGCTTTTATAAACAGCTGTATTCAACACCACACTTTGTCGCTGTGCACAGTCCATGTTATCAAATATGTGACTGGACAAAACACAAACGCTCCCGGGTGCCAACTGCGCATTGTAGCAGGCATTGTTTAAGTCGATCAATCACAACCACACCTTAAATTTTAATATCATAACTTAGAGCATTCCATTTTGCAGGATATACACTTGACTGATGCTTGGATCTTCAAGTGCTCACACACTTCTTATATGTTGTAATGTTATAAATTTCGACTGGATTAGGCAAATACTCTTTTCCTGGAGAAAAAAAAGTGGCAGTGTCATTCCAGTGTGTTCCGGCAGCACCACACCCACGGTTAGCACTGATGACTGTGTTTGTGGATTTAATGGTAATGGTACAAAGATGTGGCACAAGTCAACGGTAAACAGTGTTAAATAGAAAAGAGTTTGGACAAAAATGAAACCTTTTGGGGTCAAGAAGAAAACATGGTTTATGATAATGTCTTGGTGATTTTTAGAAACTCTCAGTGGTGTCAGAAGCTACTGTCGCTAGTTGTGACATCCCCTCTGTTATTTATGTCAAAGACTGGTTTTACATTCACATTCATGTATAAAAATGCTATATATAGCAAAAGATACATTATGGTGCTGAACTGTTCACTTATGTTTCATTGGGTGTCACAGTGCATCCTACACATCTGATGGTGTCATGATTAATGGGAATCCAGAATGTACCTAAACAGCATCCTTTCAGCCCTCTCTGTGCTATTCTTAATGAGTCAGTCATCAGCCGTCTCAGACAGCACCTTGTCAAATTTGATTTCCTTTCCAGTCCGATCTCTAAAGCCAGAGGGCCAGCTGCTTCTAACTTTAGGGCCTGTTATCTACTGTGCCCCTCTATTGCCTCTGGCTGCCCCCCAGTCATGTCTGGCCTCAGATTTAGTCAAACCACAGCTAGTTTACAGATAATTATCAGGCTGAGGCCAGCTGTGTGGCACACATCCACTGGCCCTTTGTTACTAATTGAATTAGACCCCATGCTGGAGGTGAGAAAGAAATGAACAGTTTCCCCCAGCGAGCCATGTGATAAGCAGACTTGGAGCGTGGAGGCTGAGTCAGAGTCAGAGCGGCATGCTGGTATATGTGCTCGATGTGGCTCACTCAGCGCCGGAGTCACATTCGCCCTGATGCTGATGTTTCTGTCAGGCTTCATTTTATGCTGTGTGTCAATGGGGGTCAAGTACAGCAGACAATTAAAAACAGACTGCTGCCAGGCTTCCTATGAAAGGTAAAGAGCCCACAATGTCTTTGTTTATTATTCCCTCTTTTCACCATCTGCTTTACAATTTATTGTCTAGCTAGATATACAACCAGCAGCAGCTTTGATTTTTAAGAGTGATCATAAAAATACAGTAGATCATTTTCATTATGAACACTGTATTTATTATCTTCACAGCTCTGTGCATTGAAAATCACTACGCCTTACTTAAATCACAGTCAAACATGCGCCTACAGAGATTCTCCATACACTATTTATCCACTGCCTTGCAAATGTGTCATTTATTAAGGAAAAAAAGGATAAAGTGAAGTGATAGCATGCATTTTTTATACAAACAAGTCTTTGCTCGTGTCCTTGACTCAAATGTTACACTACTCCAGGTCTTATTTCATCCTTACACATGTTCTCATTTCTATATTACTGTCATCTCTGCAGGTCTTCTTTTGAAGTTGGATATTTCTGTCACAAAAATGAAAAATTGTAATTAAATCAATGAATAATTAAACTGAATCAGGTGAGTGTGGAATGAAATGACATCTCTAAATTTCAAAACAAAAGCACAAAGTAGATGAAAACATGTGGAAGTGTGAATTTAGTTCCTGCACTCGGTGGCTTGTGTTCAGTATAATCAAACCTTTCTGTGCCACAGCCACTTTCATTCTTCTGTCTCGTTGCCTGACTAAAGTATGTGATGTTTGTCAGAGCAGCCTTTGTGCAGTAAAAGTCTGGCTGTGCTGTAGAAAGTAGGCCATTTAGGCTGATGGCTGACATGGTCCTGTGTGACCGTGGAGGGCTTAACAGTTTATTTCTGGACGTTCGGTCCATCATCTGTTAACATTTTTGGTCTGATGAACCTTGTGGCTTTACAAGCAGAGATTAGCATCTGTCTCTTTCCACAGCATTGTGGGACAGTTATGTAAGTAAATGATGTAGCACTCTGCCTTCAACTGCTCTGTACTCTCAGTGGGACACTGTTATGAAATGTGACACAAGTAATTTGGTTGTCATCTTAATTATTTATATACACCTCTCTTGGATGTGAAAATTGGGTTGTTGCGCTCTGTTGCTCAAAAATCTGTCATTCTCTCTGAATTAAACTGAATGAGAATAATGTGGAACTAGTGTCAGACCTATGTCAGTATGAGATAAAGCATCCATCCATCCATGTATCCATTATCTATACCACTTATTCCTGAATAGGCTGGAGCCAATCCCAGCTGACATTGGGCGAGAGGCAGGGTACATCCTGGACAAGTAGCCAGTCTATCAAAGGGCTGATAAAGACAGACAACCACACACACCCACACACATTTGAAATAAAACATCTTCTATTATTTATTGTTTTAGATCCCTATTCATAATTTAGAATGTTATACATTTGCTCATCTGTCTTTCCAAAACAGGCCATAATTTGTTATGTTTGCTTGATATTAAAATGAGCTTTAAAACCAGTTTTTTTCTGCTGTGTGCTTTACAGTATTTCCCACATTACAGTACATACACATCCTTTTCTCCAAACACAACACCCCTTCTCTGTCTCTCTCCTCCTCACCATGTTCAAATTACAAGATGCAGTTTTGTGCCGGTGTGCCACAGGGACCATGCATGAAATTTATTGGCCCCGAGTCTCGCCATTTGACACGCAAGAAGCGGCTAACAGATCTTGTGCCATTTCCCATCTCCTACGGCTCCCGTGTAAAGCTGACCTTTCCTGCCTCCTGGCTATATTTAAGCCCTGAGCACCAGAGGCTTACGGTGCCATGGTAAATTTTATTATCAGCGCTTTCCATTTGTCTGACTTAATTCAGGCCTGCTGTAGATTGTGCTGAAGCTTGTCGTATATTTACACTCCACTATGGCAAACAAGGGCACTGGTGACAAGCCCAACCATCAGGACTATAGTGGGGGATGATGCCTGGTGAAGCATACCTTTGAACGACTCTGAGGAGCAGCCACAAGATTAGAGCTTCTATTTACAGTGCACATCACCTGCCGTAAGGTGTGAGCAGATTAAAGAAAGAGGGAGTGATATTATTCCACGAAGCAGGGAGTTGACCAGAGAGTCAAGTACAATGGGACTTGACATTTTGAAGAATCTCAGCTGGTAAAATGCCATAGATTTCAGCCAAAGACACATTTATCAGCCTTCACCATTTGCTGTCATTAGTGCAGTGTGTTGCATGAGCTCACGAACGCACATGAGCACCCATACATCCACACGCATACTTATTCTTTTTCAAACTCTCGCCCAGCCATCTGCTTAACCATTCACTGACACTTTCTTTTTTTCTGCACTTTGGCAGAACTGAGGTGGGAGTTCAAAGGGTGCTCCAGGTGGATCTGAAAATGGAAAGCTTCCCAGAGCCGCTGGGTAGCCGCTGGATGGCCTGGCAGGGGGAGTACCCAGCCAGTCGTGCAGCTACACAGGAGGCTGAGACGGAGATCCGACTGGCACAGGAGGACCTAGCGGGCATTGTGCCCCTGGCCATGGTGAGTAATGTCACTTCCAGCTCAGTGCAACGCCCAAATGGATGGCTGCATACTCATCACGCAACAGATAGTGCAACACCGCATTCTATTAATTATACACTTTCAATCAACATTTTTGCACTTGTTTTCTTTAGGCACCTTAATACTTTGCACTGGAAATTGAGAATTGCTGTGACTGGCAGTTGCCTCAGACAGACAAAATGAATGTATTCATGATCTGGCCACATGTATTTTTAGTAAAGTTTTTAGAAACCAAAGCACAGGTATATCAAGCAGGATATTTGCTTTTTCGTCAAGTGAAGTAAAAGTTCTTTCACTGACACTGGAGTACTGACACAAACAACGAAGCACAGACAGGGCATGAGCAGCTGCTTAGCAGGAGAGCAACAAAGTACTGTACATTTACTGTACATGTAGTACTTGTGATTTATTTGAGTATTTTCACTTTTTACATTTACTACATTTCAGAGAGAAATGTTGCACTTTTTTCTTCATTACAATAATCTGGCAGCTATAGTTTCTAGTTTCCTTTTCAATGTAAGATTTTACATACAAAGCATGCAAGTTATTCTTAAAATACAATATATTTTAATACCATATACTAAATTGCCTGTAATTTTTCATAATCAAACTAACTTAAGGCCACTGATATACCATAGAAATGACATGCCACATATACACTAACACAATGGAATTCATCCAGTTATTTTCTAAGACACACAACCTGGAATGGGCCATTTTGGACTGATACTTGATACTGCACTTGATACTTAAAATATATTCAGCTGAAAATCTTTTACTTTTGCTCTTATCACTGTACTTTATATACTGTAGTAGTATTACTGTGTAAACTTAAGGTAAAGGATCTGAGTACTTCTTCTACCACTTTAACTAGAGAAGGCAGAGCGTGTTTAGGAGCAGGCCAGGACGAGAGCATCTGCAGCTGCCAGCAGGCTTCAGATGAGGTCTGGAGGCTGGTTCTGGCCTGAGGGGAGCCCTGGAGCTGTGTGTGTCTCCCTCAGCAAGGCACAGCTCCACTGTTGTGTAGATTATCCAAAGCTTCCCCTATAGAACTTCACACGGAGAGCCTTTCACACATCTCCGCAGCTTTGTTCAGTGACCCAGAGAGCATCACATCTGATTTAGATCAAGAACATTCAGGTGAGAAAATTGTGTTGACTAAAGAGAGAGGCGTCACATCAGCACTGATTACTAAAACAAAGATCGCATTCATTTCTGTGTCAGTGCATCTGATCTGCATGATACAGACCTGACTGTTGTGTAGTTGATAGATGCCTGTGGGTGGCAGTTCCTGGATTCAGAGAAATGTACCGCATCCCCACTCACTGATCCAGCCTCAGGATAACTGAAGCCGTGCGTTTAATTCTGCAGCACTGTTCGACTTCCTTCTCTCACATCCTTTTTATGTCACTGATGTGACAACAGCCTGCTTCCCTTGCTCTAGGAGTATATCGTTAGCTTGTACACCTTCCACTGACAAAAACTGCAGGGATGATTTGCATGATTATCTAAAGCCTGTAATCATATTAAGAGAATACACCAAATAATTTGCTACTGCCTGCTTAAAGAAAAACAAATTTTCAATGAAATGTTTATTTGATTGATTTGATTTGATTTGGCTTTTGTGCATATATCAAAGGCAATACTTCCATCATTGTTTTGGTAAAATGAGTCTGTGAATGAGAGCACACTCCTCCAAAATCTCACATCAATCATTCCCTTAAGTCTCAGCTTTTTCACTCTGATTATTCTGCTCATTTTACATAGTAGAGGGGGTTTTATGGCTCGCTATCAATCATGTAACTTTTTCCATGGTGGCAACAATCCATCTTAATTAACCTGATGTTACAATTACTTGTTAAACTTGGATAAGTCAATTAGGGACAGGATAATTTAGGAAGGAGCCTCACAGGTGATAAGGATGAAAAATGTTTCAAATATATAAACCAGATGATTTTCAGTACCCCCTGCATGTACAGAAAGGCTTGATTTTCCCTTTTCCTTACCTTGATTTGCTATTCTGTTCAGAGGGCCTGTCAGGGAGTCAGTGAAGCAGCTGCTACTTTGTCAGAGAGTGTGGATAAAGTGTATTGAAGGATCAGGTTCACTATCACTGGAACATTTTCATCATCACATGTTTAGTGACAAAAGGTTGATTAGGACACTTTTATTTTATTTTTGCTTTACCATAAGGCAGTGCACGTTCTCTTCACTTTTCTTTTAGTGCTTCTCCTGCACAGCCTACTTCCCAAGATGCACAGCATCTCCAGCCACCCCATGGAGCTTATCGCATAACACAAATACAGTACTGTACATGCAGAGACTCATGAACTCTCTCTGTCTCTGTCTGTCCCCTTCTCTCTCCCTACTCTTCCTTGCTCTTACAAACACACACATAGCAGCACAATGCTTTCACAATCTGCATGCACCAATATGAGAGAAGCACACAAGCGAGAAGGAGGAAAGCTGAACTAGATTACTTGGAATCACTGTGGCATGAAAGGCTCACAGATAAGTTCCTCTCCTTCCCCCCACTACACTCCCTGCTGATAGAAAAGAGGAAGTAAGGTAATGTAAGAGCACACACACACACACAGCCACATCATCCCCCCCAACCCCCACCCCATTTGCAAAATCACCACCTTCTCTCTACCACAGGGAAAACTAAGTCAGTGATTCCAGTAGAAAACAGGTTTCTGCACGTAAAACTGAAGTCAATGTCACAGAGTAGTGAAGCAGGCATACTATATGAAATATATGTTCATCACATGCTCAGTAACAATACTGTTCATTGTGAGACCAGGAAAAAACTGTAACTCTGTGAAATACATAAATGTTGAATTCTTGTACAGAGGGTGCTCTCACTGTTCATTATGAGAATATCATATGGGAACCATGGGGAGAAGTGGTCAGACCTAATAACTCCAGAATGTCTGCTCACAGCACTAGAGCTGCAACCTCATGTTTTTACCATCTCAGCTACAGGCTGCGCGTTGATAAAACATGCACTGTTTCCTTCCAGATGTATGAAAAAAAGAGTTGAAGGTGACTGATCAGTATATATTTTCCATTACTTAGAAGCTAACATGTGGAAACTTTGCACAAAGAAATGTATCTTTATACGAAGCCCTTGAACACAGTGTGCAGTACAACCGAAAGTTTAAGCTACAATCTAGACATTTAGAATTGTTTAAATTTGATCTAAATAATACTATTAATACTAATACTATGTCTTTTCATGATAGCATTACCTGTAAATTTTGTGCTTTCCAGCCCTGAGTAGTACCTGCAGTCTTCCTGTCAGGCCACATGCAGCTAACTCCACCGATAGAGCAGCAGCAGGACCCTGAAAAATCACTCACTGCTGCTCATGTATCAAGATTCTTATCCAACTTCCATCTGGCTTTTATCTGCATTTTAACAGCTGGAGAGTCCAATGAGATAGAAATTATAGTAAGAAAATCAAAGGGAATTTGAAGAGTGAGGGGGCGTAACAATGGGAAAGACTCTGCTTAGGCAGTATTCAGCATCTGATCTGTATTACAGTATGCTGATTTATCCCTTAGGACTTGAAACATTACTTACACATCTAGCAGGAACATAGCAACTCTGACATCCCATCAGAGTCTCACCAACTAGAGAAAAGCACGTCCAGTGTTCAGTGTTTTTGCCTCTTGTTTCATCCTCTAATGACTGAGAAAAAGAGCTGGGTCTCTGAGAGCCAAAGTAATGAGCTGCACAGTGCTGAGAGCTGGCTAGAGTTGCAGAGTGTAGCGTTGATCCTCATTTGGATCAGCAGTATTGGCAATATTACATCACACACAGTTGCCATTAGTATAAAAAAAATACTGTTTAATGGAGCTTTGAAAGACACGTGATTGTCTAGCTGCCTTTGTAGTTGGCTACAGTAGTGTAACTCCAATTAAAGATGGACAGAAAGCTCTTTTTAATGTATTCTATTCACTGCCATTGTAATGGCTGTTGTATTGCACTGCAGCAATGTCTCCACATTGTAATAAATAAAACCTCTCCAGATATCCTCATTCTTACTGAGACAATGTCTTTTCTTGTAATCCCAGATAATGAAACCACTGTGGATTATGTTTTTATATGTGTGGCAGTGAAGTTAAAATGTATGCTTCACTGAAATCAACTCTTAGTTTGACCCTAAGAAATCAGAATATATTGTGCTAATCCCTTTATTGCTAAGCACATGCATGGCCATTGTATGTATGTCCGACCCTAATGCTGTCAAGCTCTGCTCACACACACCTCTTCAGAAAGACCAACGACAGCAACAACAACAATAATAATAATGGGCAATCTAAACCTGGACCAGCTCCCTGACAACTCTAACATGTTAAAAGAACAGTGCTAGAACTTAGTCTTTCCCAGCTTTGAGACAAATCCACCAGACCAAATTTGATAAATCCTCTTTAGTCAGCATTGATCAATATCATACTCATACTAGGCCACACACATACTCTACCACTGGAGCTTTTGCTGTTGATGTTAATGATTATACTCCAGTACCCTGGGTCAGGAATACTGAAATTCCTCAATCCAAGTCTCAAATTATCAACACAACAAATAAAACACATTTGAATGCTCTGAATTCTTTAGAACTGGTATTTTGGCCCCTTTTGACCCATTTTTTATTAATACTGAATGTAATTTAAACATACATCTTTGACATTTTGTTCACACAAAGTCCATTAGATTTCTCTAAATCCATCTTTACTGTTTGTACAAACAGCCCAGATTCCCCTCTGTCTTCTAGCAGGCTGTTGTTGTTGTTGATGTTGTTTTTTCATCATATTGTACCAGCTCTAGCATTTCCATCACTGGCCTTGATTCATCACTAGAAAACTTGTCAAATTTACTCACTGTAGGCTGCATTTTGTGCAGTTTATTGCAACCAGGCATCCACAGTTTATGCCATTGA